AAAATTCTTTGACTAGATTTTTTAAATTTAAAATTTCCCGTCAGATCTGTTCTTTTCTAAACAACAGTACACTTTACTCTTCCAAAGAGCAATTGAGGTTTGTTGTTGTTTTCGGCTGATTTTGAACATGTAGTTTAAAACTTTTCTTCTCTCTCCTTTTCATTTAGGTAGCTAATTCAGTAGAGCAATTTAGTTGATTTATACTTATGTTCACCCATAATTTAATTATTTTTTTCCAGCTGATTTCCAGTCACCTGTTTCATAAGCCAGGTTCAGGGAGAGGGATCACTGTGCAAACCATGTGTTGACTTTTGGTGATTAGGCTAGGCCTTGGAGAGACCTCTCTTAAGGGGAGCTGCCTACAGCCAGGAATTAAATGGCTCAAATTCTAGTTAGACTTCCTGAGGGGAGTCTCAGTTTTCTACCTCACATGACAGGAAGAGAGATTTCTCCTCTCTCACTAGGCCCTGTTACCAAACTGGAACCTTTTTTCCCCTGGGAACTGAGGGACCAGTAACAGGACTGTATTTGGCAGTGAACCCCGTCATCTTCTGTGTGCCAGTGACTACAGCCTTTCCCCAGCCTCACGCTGTGCAGGGAGATGAGGGCTCAGTGTAACTTGGACGTCTCTCGGGGTTGTGAGGATGCACCGGCCTATCACGGTGCTGCTCAACAAATGTTGGCTTTTTCAGTCTTTATTGGTATTGTTGTCACTACTAATGCAGTTTATGGTTCACCTTCATCTTTAGCATATTGGTGTCAGGACAGTGTTTTAAAAATCTCTTGTTATGATAAATGTGAGTTCATAAAAATTTAAATTGACAAGTGAGCACCATCATGACATCAAGGAAGTGACAACTTTTTACAAACAAATTACAAGGGCATGCTTCTAATTCACAACAAAGGGTTCATTTCCCTGGTGTGTGAAGACTAACAGTTCAATAAAAAATGGGTGACTGTAAAGCTATTTTGTTGTGACATGCTTGTGCTGCAGAGTTCATGTCTAATGCATAATCCACAAGCTATCAGGAGACTGGAGACACTGTAGCTGCAGTTACAGACAGCCATGTAGAATATGGCTGCGTGTGGGTATGTGGAGTGTGCAGGTGCCCGAGGAGGTCACGTAGAAGTAGCCCCCCCTCAGATCTGCTCTGACACCCTCCTGTGCCTGCTTACCCTGGTTTCCGTCCTTATCTTCTCCACACCCAGAGTGTTCTCTCTGTCCCTCACTCCCGCTGTTTCCCATCTGCTCCAGCCTTCCCACGGCTGCTGTTTCAGCTGAGATGACCTTCTATACACAGGCTAATCTCCTGGAGATGTGCTTTCCCCAGCCTGCTCAGAGGCCTTCGGTGCTGCTTCTGGCCAGCAGGAGGTCTAACTTGTGAACCTGACCTGGGCGGGCTTGAGGGGGCTCTGTCATCTACTCTTCCCTCCTAAGTCTTTCTCACTGTGACTCAGGACCCTGCCCAACATCTGAACTGCCTGCCCTGCTCACCGTGCTCATTTCTGCCTCTGAGCCCCGTACCCTGTCTTGTACATGCCCCAAGATTGCTTTGCTTGCATCCAGACCTCACTGACCAGTGTTTCCTCAGGTCCCACTGCATTTCTGAGGCCAGAATATCAGACAGGATCAATCACCTTAAAGTGGGAAAGGTCTTTGGTAGCTGCTGTTCCAGAGAATGACAGTCACCGTGTTGCTGCAGGCATGGTGGTATTCATGGCTTGTTGGAATGTAGGATGTAACTTCTTCACATCACAGGCCAGAAAGCAGAGTGACCAGAACTAGACGCTGGGCTGCAGCCTTCAGAGGCCACCTGCTCACCTACCTCTGCCATCCAGGCCCTGGCTACCAATGGTGACAGCCTTCCAGAATGGTGCCACTTAGCTGGGAAGCACTGTTCAAAAACATGATTTGGGGATTGTGTGTTTTACATCAAAGATAATAGTGCCTGTACTCTCATCACACATTTACCATTTGCTGTAGAGGTTTTTTTGTTTTGTTTTGTTTTTTTTTTTGTTTTGTTTTGTTTTTGGTTTTGTATTGTTGAGACAGGAACTCACTCTGTTGCCTAGGTTAGCCTCAGACTTCTGAGTGCTGGATTCCAGGCGTTCCCCTACATCCTGACTCCAGGTGGACATTTTCGTTGAAGTAGAGAGTGCATATCTACATGCACATCCAGATCTGGAGGAAAGCACCCAGGGACTTTGCATAAGATCACAGTCACAGCCTCCACATTCCTTTCTTCTCATCTGCTTTCTGGCTCCTGAGACTTGGGAGACAGAACCACACCATGTGTGTCTGCATAGCAATGTCCATCACCAGTGCTGAGTGGTACCCTACATCAAGAACTGAGCCAAGAGCAGAATCCAGATCTGGTAGACATGAAACAGAGCAAAGGCCGACAGTCTGAAGTTTCCATTACTCACTAGGTTCTTTCTTGACAGCCAATTAGAATTGAGATATGCTTCCCACTCCCAGCTTAAGCAGAGGTAATACACTTTTTGGTAAGTCCTCTTCAGGGAGTTCTTGATAGTAACTTATACATTAATTTCAGCCTACACATGGACATATCATCTTTTTCTTCCTCCATGAACTTGTAGACACAGGGACAAATCTATAGCATGAGTTTTTGTTGTCATTTTGCCCATCAAATATTTATTGGTCCCACATAGACTACCAGATACTGTTACAGAATATCAGTTCCTCCTTCCACAAGGTTTATATTCTGATGAGTCACTAGAAATAATTGATAGCACTAACAGCAAGGCTTCACACTAAAAATATAACAATGACTAAAGAGTAAAATAACTGAGAAATTGCTACAAAATCATCTGTTCCAAAGTCTTTACAAGTATTCTGAGAGAACAGGAACACAGAAGTAGGAAAGGCCATCAAGAAGGTTAGCCTGAACTAAAGACTTCAGTGTGCAAAATCAATTTGATAGGATGTTATCAAAAAGCATGAGAGAAGGCAAGACTTAAGGAAAGTAAAATAAATGCAAGATGTAGAGAGCAGAAAGATTTTAGAAGCATAATAAGAAACTCCTTATTCTCAGTAACAGTTTACAATTTACAGGCATTTTTTTCTTGTCTTACTGGATCTCTGCCCACTGTGAATTTTTTAGCCTATATGGGTTGGTGCAGTGAGTGGTGTCAATGTACCCGTTGTCTGGCATTGTAGAGTATCAGAATTTATGTTCCTGCTCCTCCTAATATTCTAAATTCTTCATTGAAATCACATCTAGCTAACTTCATTCTCACCGTGTTCTCTGTTTGCACTGATCAACCTGAATGTTGTGAGGATTTTCCTGGGAAGATCACGTGTCTGAGGGTTCTGCATGAGGAAAAGCACGGCCTTGGGTGGTCACTTCCAGCTCCGTGCTGGGATGCCTCCCTTACTTGGAGCTGTGGACACAGAGATGGGGTAGAGGGCTCAGAGGCCGCCAATCCTTCCAGAGCAAATAGTAGGATATAAGCACCCCTGTTCACCCCTTATTTTGTCCCTCCTTTTGCCTCTTGGTTATTATGTATTTTCTGTGCCCAGAGGGCGTCAGTTTGCAAAGCTGTAAATATGTCAGTCTTGTTTATGTGGTTTTCACTTCAAATTAATGTTCAGCAAAGGGATTAGCAGGTAACTATTTCAACCTGAGTTTCTTTACAAGAAGAGTAGATATGGTTTGCACAGGCTTCTTGAGCCAGGAAGCAGAGTTAATTGTGTAGTCAGTGCAAGAGAGAGCTGGTCTCCTTTAGAAAGACAGGACCGTGCAGCTCACAGCATCCACATAGATCTTTGGGGTCAAATTGATGTCGTGTTAAAGAATCAATATTTACTGGACTTTGTAAAGTTAGCTTTTAATGAACCTCAGACATTTTTCTGGGTCACTAATTGCAGGAAGAAGAAAGGTGGCAGTGTCTGGAGTTCATGGGTGAGGGGGCTGGTTTAAAAGTGAGTGAAGAGACAGTTGCCAGTGTGCAGAGCATCATTCCATTCTTAGATTCTTTTCAGCATTGTTGGGTACTTATATTGAAAGGCTGCTTGGAGCTGGGGTATAGCTTGGATGTGGAGCACAGGCGGAGACTCTGGATATAAACCCCAGGACCAAAAACAGAGAAAGAAAAGGAGGATTTCTTGGATTCTTTCCAACATAATCATAGCAATTCTTGCCTCCTAGCTAAAGGTTAGATACTCCATCCCAGTACTTCCCAGGCCTGACCTTGCTTAGCTTCTGAGATTAGATTGGGTGTGTCCAGGGTGGTATGGCCACAGACTGCTCTTTGGCAGCCCTTCCTCAGTTCCCTGGATGAATTCCAATGACGTTTCAAGTTCTACTTTCTGAACATTTCTTCACCAGGTCAGGTCCTTCCCTCCCACTGATGGCTCTTGAAAGCACTCAGAATGGAAGAGTGCAGCATGAAACATTTCCTGGAGGATGCTAGCCTGCATCCCCATCCAATTAAAGGGCCTTCCTAGGCATCCAGTGTTCCTCTGGTGGGGCTGCATGCTTGAGATAGAGTGCCTCTTACTGGGTTGTCACCATTATGTGTGGCACTGCTTTTGTTGTCAGTGCTTCTAGTAAGTTGACAAGGTAGAGGAATGTGCCCTATGGACCTTCGTGTTGCCCTAAGAAAATCCAGTACTAATGGGTTTCCTTGGTCAGTAACTGAGTCAAAATCATTTTGTCAGGCCCTATGTGATTGCAGCTCCAGGATGCTTATTACAAGCTCTTGGTCGTGTTTGTGCAGTAGATACATCTTGGCTATGACTTTGCAGCTCTCCTGTCAAGTGTATTTTCTCAGGGGAGACTTCAGGACTAATGAGAAGGAAGAACCGGCTGTTCCTTCTCACTCCACCCCCATCCCTCCTCTCTAGGATCATTATTCAGAATAAACACTAGGAAGAGAAACGTGGGGGGAGAGGTTGGAATTGTAGTGTGGTGTTTAAAGGCAGACAGGACAGTGAACATTCGCATCTCCAGCTCTCTTTGGATTTTCCTTTGCAGACGTTTGAGAACTTCTACTTTGGTTCCCTGAAGCTCAACTCCATTCACATATCCCAGAGGTTCACAGTGGACAGCTTTGGGAACTATGCCTCCTGCGGACACGTGGACTTCTCCTGAAGTGGGTATGGAAAGCCCTAGGCATGGAATGCCTTCCTATGGTGGTGAAGAAGGGTTTCATTTCAGTCCCTGGGGTGTGGGGATGGGGATTTGGAGGCGCTGCTGCTAAGTTTTTTGTCAGCTTGTTACAAGCTATAGTTATCTGGGAAGAGGGAACTTCAATGGTAAAAATGCAAGTTATGAGATTGGCCTGTAGGGGCTTTTCTTGATTAATGATTGATGTGGGAGGGCCCAGCCCACTGCAAGTGGTGTCACCCCTGGACAAGGAGTCCTAGGGTGTATAAGAAACCATGGCAAGGGGGCTGGAGAGATGGCTCAGTGGTTAAGAGCACTGACTGCTCTTCCAGAGGACCCGGGTTCAATTTCCAACACCCACAGGCAGCTAACAGCTGTCTGTAACTCCGAGATCTGACACCCTCACACAGACATACATGCACACAAAACACAATGTACATAGAATAAATAAATAAAAATAAACCATAGCAAGCAAGCCATGAACAGATCAGTAAGCCAAGTCTTTTGTACCCGAGTTGGTTTTGGTCATGGTCTTTATCTTAGCAGTAGGAAGCAGATTTAGGGTAGATGCTGATTGTTCTGTGTGGTCCCCTCTGAATTCCCAACTCCATGTTGCCTTTGATGGTCTTCCACGGTCCCACCATGTCTGCCAAGGTGCTTGTGGGCACAAGGAGAGCTTGAGCCCATCAACCTTTGACTTGTTCTATTTTGTATGTTAGGAAGAGATATAAATAATGTAAAATTTATTATCTTGGCCATTTTCAGTGTAAGGTTTAGTTTATTAAATACATGTGTAACATTGTGCTGCTGTTACCACTACCCATAACTTTTCTAAAACTTGTAACTGTACCTTCAAGTAATTTTCTCCTTTCCCCCAACCCCTGGCAACTATTTAACTTTCTGCCCATGATTGTCATAGCTGAGTACCTCATGTAAGTAGAAGCATACAGTGTTTGTCCTAGCATAATGTCCTCAAAATTCACCATGCCATATCATGTAACAGCCCTGCCTTCCTTTGTAAGGATGAATACTATTCCACTGTAGGTATGCCACATTTGGTTACCCATCCATCCACAACTGACCCTTATGTTGAATCCACACCCTGACAACTGTGAATAGAACTGTCCAGACCTGGGTGTGCAGATGTGCCTCCCACACCCTGTTTTTCATTTTCTTCACTAGCCAGAGACTTGTCTTTATCAGCTATGATTAAATTTATGGTGCTTGATCTGTTCATTTTCATTCTAAAATTAGTTCCTAAAAATATTTTTGGATACCTCAGTTGGTATACCTCTGCCTCAGTTGGTAGAGTACTTGACTAGCTTTCACAAAATTGGGTTAGATACCAGCACCGCATATAACAGTGTGCAGTGGCCCAAGCTTGCAGTCCCAGCACTTGGGAAGAGGAAGATCAGAAGTTCAAGGTCATCCTTGGCTACATAGAGAGTTCAAGGTCAGCCTGGGATATATGAAGCCAAGCCCCTTGCTCCCAAAACAAATAACAAGTTCCAAGAGACTGGAGTCCTGGGTCTGTGGTTAAGAACACTTGCTGGTCTTCTAGAGTACATGAGTTCGATTTCCAGCACCCACCTGGAGACTCACAACCATCTGTAACCTCAGTGCTAGGGGATCCAATGTCCTCTTTGGACCTCCACAGACACCAGGCATGTAAATGGTACCCAGACATACATGCAGGCAAAACATCCATACACATAAAGTAAAAATAAACAAACATTAAAACGTAAACATGAAAAAATTGTAGAGTCCTGTACTGCCACATCCCACGTCGACCTCCTGCCCCCCAGTGGAGTTGTCATCGCTCTTTTCTGTTTCCTCCTCAGAAGAGCAGCAGAGAACCGTGACTGACTGAAGCGGCAGGAGCCTGGAAGTGTGGCGGCAGCAGGCACTCCGGCCTCCAGCTAAATGGCAGAGGAGGGAGCTCCAGCCTACACTGCTCCCTCCTGGTCCTCACTCCTCCTCCTCATCCCCTTCTTTCTTGTTCTTCATTCCTTATCCTCATGACCCCGCCTTTCTGTGAAGTCTGCTCCTGAGCTCTGTGTTAAGATCACCGTGCTGTGAAGATTGGCTTCTCTGTGAGATGGGACAGACCATCTGCAAATAAATTAGATTTCCAAGTTGCTGTTTTCTCTTTAATATGGCCAGGCAGTCATGTCTATACTGTCATCACTGTGTTGGGGTGGTAGGCTTTAGTACTTACTGATTTAGCTGTTCCATTTACCAAGGGCTCACTTGTCAGTGCATCGGGGGCCATTTGCCCAAAAGGATTCCACTTTGTGCTGGTGATAGTTAGGCCTTCTGACCCTCCTCCTCAGGGTATTACACAGCACGTGGCTCTTTCCTTCAACCCCACCCCAGAGCTGAGCACTGAACCCAGGGCTTTGTGTTTGCTAGGCAAGCACTCTACCATGAGCTAAATCCCAATCCTGCATGGCTCCCCAGAGCGTCTCTCCCCAGCTGTTGGGTGGCCTTGTCCACTAGCGTGCAGATACCATCTTTTGGGCGTTGGAGATTAATGACTTATGCTTGTAGGACTCTTTAAGAATTTTGTTTTGAAAAACAAAAGTTTTGTTTTAGAAATCACAGTGTGGTCTGGTCCCAGCCAATTCGGGAGATGCCGGATACTGTTCAGACATGGCCAACTCCAAGAACCACACCACACATAACCAGTCCAGGAAATGGCACCAAGAAACCCTGATCACAAAGATACAAATCTCTTAAGGGGGTCGACCCCAAGTTCCTGAGGAACATGCCCTTTGCCAGGAAGCACAACAAGAAAGGCCTGAAGAAGATGCGGGCAAACAGTGCGAAGGCAATGAGCGCACGCGCAGAGGCCATCAAGGGCCTGGTGAAGCCCAAGGTGGTGAAGCCCAAGATGCCAAAGGGCCGAGCCGCAAACTCAGGCGCCTTGCTTTCCTCGCTCACCCCAAGCTTGGGGAGCGGACTAGAAACTACGTAGCCAAGAGTCGTAGGCTCTGCCAACCAAAGCCTAAGGCTCAAACCAAGGCAGAGGCCTCTGCTCCAGCTAAGGCCCAGGCTTCAGCTCAGGCTCCCAAAGGAGCCCAGGCCCCTGTGAAGGCCCCATAGAAAAAGGTTTCTGCCACTGTGAAGACAGATGGCCTGGTGTGACACACCTACACACTATCTGCAGGTGATCGTGCCCTGTGCTGTTTTTACAAATAAACTTGAGGCAAGACCTGTAAAAAAAAAAGAAAAAAAAAAAAAGAAATTGCAGTGTGATATGTCAGATATTCCATTCTTAATAGAACTAGGAATTCTGTTATCACATCTCAGGGTCCCTGCCCCCTACACATGTAAGCAGAGACCATATTGTTAGCCGAGTTCTAAAGTGCAGAGGGGAGTTTTCCAGAGGTGATACCTGGTGATGACGACTAGTGGAGCATATGTGTAAATTTTTGTGTTTTGTGATATTTTGTATATTGGTAGATACTAGTAGAGTTTTTTTTTAATTATCTTTTTGTTTTTTGAGATAGTGTCTCTATATAGCCCTGGCTGACTGGCCTGGAAACTCTGTATGTAGACCAATATGGCCTTAAACTCATAGAAATCCTTTTGCCTCTGCCTCCCAATTCTGGGATTAAAGGCATGCCCAAATTTGAGAAATATTTTTTTTTACAAGCAGTAATAGCCAATATTAACAACATACCCACTTGTCATGTATTTGCACATTGACTCAGCCTTCACAGCCATCCACTGGAGTTGGTATTATTATTATCCCTGTATTTCAAATTGACGATTAGCAAGATTAAGAAATCTAGAGCTAGAGAGATGGTTCAGTGGTTAAGAGTACTTGGTGCTCCTCTAGAGGACCTGGATTTGGTCTCTAGCGCTCCCGTTGGGTATCTCCCGACTGCCTGTAACTCCAGCTTCAGGAGGTACAATGCCCTCTTCTGGCTTCTGTAAACAACTGCACACATGCCACACCGGGGGGGTGCATGCACAGGCGCACAGGCGCGCGCGCGCGCGCGCACACACACACACACATTTTAAAGGTTTAAAAATTTCGCCTGAGGCCTTTGGTCTCAAAGTATAGTTTTGGATTACCAGGAATCTCCAAAGATCTTCTAGGAGGGGTTTGTGAGATCCAGGCTAACTTTATAAAAGTAGCAAGGTGGTTTTTGCCTTTTTACTGTCCAAGAGGCCATTGGTACAATTATATCACTCTGGTAGTTAAATACAGTGTATACTTGTGTTTTGTGTTTTCTAGGGTATTAGACTCCATTATGGGCCTGGAGAGATGACTCAGCAGTAAAGAGCATTGGCTGCTCTTCCAGAGGTTGAGTTCAATTCTCATCAACCATATGGTGGCTCACAACCATCTCTAATCGGATCTAATGCCCCCTTCTGGCATGCATTCACAGCACTCATACATAAATCATACATTTTTTAAAAAGTCACTGTGTGTTTTTAGAGGTTCACTAACCCATTTTATCCTCAGTATTTCTGGGCTCTTTCTAGTGATTTTCTTTTCCACCTGCTATTAGGAATTGTGTCCTGCCCACACCACAGTACCTCCATCTTACTGTTTTTGGAGGCAGTTAAGTGAAAATGAGGTCATTAGGGTGGACCCAAGTCCCACTGACCTGGAGCCCTTAAGAGGACTTACTCATGAAGACACAGGACTAGCACTCACCCAGAGGACAGACCTGTGAGGACCCCGTGAGAAGGTGGTAATCTACAAACCAAGAACAGTGGTCTTTGGAGAGACCAAACCCCAACACTTTGATCTTGAACTTCTGACCTCAGGAACTATGAAAATAAACTGGCTATGGAGGCCTTTGGTCTGTGGTACTTTGTTATGGCAGCCTTCACAGACAGCTGCTGGGCCACAGGCTCACAGGCTACCTGTCTTCCTTTGAACCAGACATTAAAGGGATTTGTAAAAATAGAAAACAATACCACCCCCCCCCCCCGAATTGGGAGGGATTTCTGTTTCTCAAATAATACACTATTGCTCTGTTAATACGAAAGGGGAACATTTTTTAAAAAAGTATACTTTTAAGTTCTCAGTTCTGTTTTCAAGTATACTAACTAAATGTCAGTGTGGAGATGTCTGTTGTACACAACCTGAATTTCTTGCATGTCCTCAGTAATACTGTGATGTAAAAGACTCCAGAGACTAGAAGTTTAAAACCTGATGCTGCTGTGCTGTCTTCAGCCTGGGGTCTTGTAGATGAGACTGCTGGAGGTTGCTCCTCCCCCAAGGTTGCATGTTTAAAAGCCTAGTTACTAAACTGGTGGCATTGTTAGGAGGGAGTGGAACATTGGGAAATGGGTCCTTGTGGAAGGAAGTTAGGCCATTTGAGGGAAGTGTCCTTAAAGAAGATATTGGGCCCTCTGCCTCTGTTTTCTCTTGGCTTTCCAGCTGCTGTGAGATGAGCAGGCTCCCTGGTCCCTCTTGCTGCAAGACGGACACCAAACCAAAGCAGCAGGGACCCTCCAAAAGTATAGGAGACAATCACTGTCTTAAAAGACCCACCTTTAATCCAGGTCACACTTTCTGCTGGCAGCCTATGTAAAGGACATGGGAGAAGGAATGATGTTTTGTAAGGCACAGATTTGGCATTTTTATTAGAAAATTAAGATTCCCCATTTTGTATTGCCAAATATTAAATGTAACAGAAAAGCTGTTGATGGGGAAGTCCTGTGTATATGTCAATAAAGCGCTGTTGGCCAATAGGGAAGCAAGATAGGTGGGACTAGGAGTCCAGGAGGACTCTGGGTAGGAGAAACACAGGGAGTCATCATGTAGCCCGCCAGAGAAGTAAGATATCCGTCTGTAAGAGAAATACTTAGATGGGTTAAATACTTAAGTCAAAGATAGCCAGTAAGAAACAAGCAAACAGCCAACAGCTTTATAATTAATACAGCGTCCTGTGTGTTTATTTGGGGACTGCAACATGGCAGAGCCCAGGTGACTAGTGGGGAAAAACCAAAGTGGCTAGCAAGGAAAAGGCTTCTCTCTACAAGCTGTAAAAGACATACACACACACACACACACACACACACACACACACACACACACACACACAGTTTAACAGCATCTCATATTTGGGGCTCATGGTTTGGAGAGATTGACATGCCAATAGTTCTCTAGAAGAAACCCCCTTTTCTTTATTAACAAGGTTATTGGTTATCTTGTACAACTCTTAGATCTGTCATCTAAAAAAACGTGTACTCTTCCTCTAAATAGCTTTGTCCTCCACTTCAGCTACACATCTTGGGCTGTGGTGCTGCAGGAGGCAGGTCCCCTTGGATGAACTGCCCATGTGTGGAAACGTTCTGACCTTCATGGGCCTGAAAGCAGCTATGAGTTAAGCAGCTGTGGTAACTAGACCACTAGAACCCTTGGTGTACCTGGGCTGTCTGCCAAGTGCTTTGGAGGCAGGCGTGTAGACAACTTTACCGAGGGCCATGTGCCTCAGTGGGTAGTGTGCTCGCCAAGCATGAAGGAAGCCCTGGGTTGGATCCCAGCATCACAAGAAACAGGAGGCACCTGGGATGTGGAGGCAGGAGTATCAGAAGTTGAAAGGTCACCCTCAAGCTACACAAGTTGGAAGCCAGCCGGGGCTACAGGAGACCCCGTCTGAGATAAAAGGACCAGGAATAAGAGATGGGGGATAGATGGTGAGATTTGGTAAATCTTCAGAACAATGGATGATCATAACCTCTTTCTGACCCGAGGGATGAACTGCTTTGTTTTTTTAAAGCCTGGGATAATTTTGCTCAAGTTTCACAGACGTTGTATGATATGTGTAGCATTAACATTAATTCTAGGTAGAAGCTGGGACCCTTGGTTCCCTCCAGTCCATATGACAAGCTTACCTCTTCACTCTGAAGCATGGCTGTACCACCTGGGAGGGCTCTGCATCCATTGTGGGATGCAGGCTTCGGTATCTGGAGCTTGCAGCAGCACCACAGGAAATCCAAGAAATACAAAGGGGAACTATTGTTTTGTGTTTTCCCCAGGGCGCCCCCCAGCCCAGACCACTGAGGCATGCAACACTCAGGCCTGCCAGGCCCAGTGAGACTGTAAACCTCATAACCTGTGTTTTTTCCTACCGATTAAGATCTCATTCTTCCAGTGTCTTTAATTTTTTTATTTTAACCTCACAGCAGCCAAATCTTTTTTTTTTTTATAAAAACACATTCTAGGGCTTGGGGACCAAAAGTTCAGTATGTTTTCTCCTGTCATACTCTTCAATTTATTTTGTAATGTAAATGCCATTTCTGCTCGGATCATGGGTCTGTGCCCAGCTGCTAGCCTTCCCAGCTGGTAAGTCAACACATGTCTATAGGCAATGACTAGGGTTACAGTTTTAACAAGAACCTAAACAACCTCCAACAAAACCAGCCTCCTCCCACCTTGTCGCCCTCCCCGGTGGCTTATCAAACTCAACATGAAATCAAACCACAAGCAAATGGGCCTGTCTAGCTTTGCAGAATCAAGGCAGATGAGGTGGCTAGACAAGCGTCCTTTCGGGTTGCCCTAGAAAAGCTAACAAAACGGTGCCAGGCCCTAAACAGCTGCTTTGGGAGGAGGCCATCAGTCCTTGTTTTTTTACCAGCCATTCAGTGCTCAGGCCGTGCGCTGAAAAGAGCTGTGGGTCTGAGGAGCAATATAGTTCAGAGGCAGCCAGTTGTTAGACCGCCTTTGTCTTAAGGAAGCCACCCATTACCGTAGCGCCATAACTCGTAGGGAGCCAGCTGTCAGAACTGTGGCACAGGCCACTCGGGGGTGGGGGGGTAGGGGGGGTGGGAGGCAAGGGGAGAAGAAATTGTCTGTGGCCAGATTCCCTTTTAGACACCTGAGCCTGACTGGCTTGGTAACCCGAGAGTTTTCATTCTCTTTCCGGCCCTGTGAAAGACCCCGGGGCCCTTCTTTGATATCCACCCTTGGATATGGACAGCAGGGACATCTCAGGGTTCTGCTTCTTTGGTTTGCAACTCCCTGGGAGCTGGACTGGGTTGCGCAGCCCTGCGCTGCAGCTTGGCTGCTGTGAGCCAGCGCTCTGCTTTGAAATCTACCCCCTCCTTTTTTTTTTTTTTTTAAACCAGGTATGATGATGTCAAACGTGATGCTGATGCTACAGTTACAGACACAGCCCCCGCTGGCGCAGCCTCTCTGATTCTCTCTCTCTCCCTCTCCGCGTCCAGCGCTGGGCTTTTTCAGACAAGTGCATCTGCTAACCAGGTCACATTTCAGCCACGACCCACCCCTCCGTCAGTCACTGGAGTCAGACCGCAGGAGGAGGGCCGAGGAGGACCACAGCGCCTCGCTAGTGGCGCGGTGGAGGGAAGGACATCAAATCCTGCAGAAGTCGAGACCCCCACCCCAGGTCCAAGCCCAGGCCACGATGAATGCTCCGGGCTCCGGGCGGCTGGCGCTGCCGCTGCTGTTCCTTACAGTGGTCGCCCTGGCTGAAGGCGACACCAAGGGGCTCAAGGAGGGCGAGACCCCCGGCAATTTCATGGAGGACGAGCAATGGCTGTCGTCCATCTCTCAGTACAGCGGCAAGATTAAGCACTGGAACCGCTTCCGAGACGTGAGCGGCGGGGCGCGGAGGGTCGGGCTGGGCGCGGGTTCCGGGAGGGAGGCGGGTAGCAGAGACCCCCGAGCGCGCTGGGAGCCGCCACCTCGTGTCGGAGCCAGAGCCTCTCCGGCCTGCGGTGCTAACTGCGCCAAGAGTAAACAACACGGAGAGTCCTAACCCTGCGCCCTTCCCGGGTTCCCGTGGCCACCGGCTTTGGGACCTTGAGTCCCGCAGCCTCCTGGAGAGTCTCGGGCGAGGACATGCTCCTAGGGCCCACGCTCGCGACAGGGGTGCGGGTTGTGGAGACTCGGGACCGGCTTGCTGCTGGGCCCCGCCTGTCCCCTCCTTGCCATCCGTCCCCCGGCCGGGCCCCTGCCGGGTTGGATGCTGCAGGCTGCACACACAAGCCTTGGCAGAGGCAGCAGGTCTGGGTGGGGCAGGCAAGGAAGGTAGCGGCCGCATAGGTGTCCTCCGTCCCCACCTTGGGCTTCAGAAGAAGGGGGCAGAAGGCGCAAGGACTGAGCGTGACCAGATTTTGAGTTTGGAGCAGGGTTCCCCCAACCCTTATAAGAGATAGTGGAAGGCGTGTCCATAATGGGGGTAGGGAGGCACAGTGAAAATGCCCAAGGTCCCCTCGGGGTGGCCACCAGACTCAGGTTAGGGTCCTTGCACGCAACAACCTAGGCTGGTTTTCCTGGACCATGCTTGGCGCGGGAGCAAGGCTAGAAACCCAGGTGACCCATCCTTAGTTCGGGGGGCGTAAGAAACAGAAGCAAGAGCCTCAGGAGCTGGGTTGGGGGGGCCCTGGAGGACGCCTGCCGCAACCAGACTTAACCTTGGGCCGAGCTTTGCGGGTGGGGGTGGGGAGGAGGTTGCGGACCGGCCGGCGCCGCAGCTCTGTTTACCCGCACCTGTAGATCAGGGAGGGAATAAGAGGCGCGTTCCCTCCCGCAGGGCGACCGTGGCCGCGCCTCGCAGATGGTGGCATAGGCAGGGGTGAGGAAGGGAGGGCGTGGCTGCTCCTGGGCACCTCAGGAGGCGATGGGGGGCAGGGGGAATGGGCCTGGAGATGTAGAGCGCTCCTCAATGTGGCGATGTGGCGCTAGCTGACTCCCTGACTTCTGGAAGCCTCTTCTACTTTGGACTCTGATTCCTCATTTCCCAGAATCTCTCATCCTACTCACCTAGTAGAACACAAGTCACATCATGACTGTCCTCACTTCTTAAACTTCGAGCATCTACACGTTCTTTAGATTTTTTTTTCTATTCACCAGTTTAATTGTTTCAGAAAAAAAGAGCTTGTTTTAATATTGTAAGGTCTACTGCTGATACGGCATGCTGCGGGTTATTACTGAGAAAACAGATGCCCAGTGACCCAGAAGGCTAGGGGAGCCCGGGAACGCATTCTGTCAGAGCATGTATAACTGGTATTTACAGTTTTTCTTTTTGGAACCTGCCTGAGGTATTTGTCTAGACATTATTTTTTAAACACACATAGGACACCCAGCCACACTATGAGAAGAGGCAGAGATTCAGATGTTTGTTTGTTTGTTTTCAAAGTCAAACTGACATGATTTCATTTGTAGAGGGAAGGAGCAACCAACCTCATCCAGCTTCCCAGGCTATGGGGGTCCCAGGGACCACATAGTGAGCCTTGACCTCCATCTTTGCCCCACCAACCTAGAGAGCCTTCGGCCCAACAAGGCCTTCCCCAGGCACCTGCAGGACCAGCCCAGATTAGCGCAGTCCCTGTCACAGTCTGCAGTCCAGCAATGAGGGGGCAGCAGCAAGCTGGTTCTTCCGGAAGGAATCCATGTGTCACTGGTCCAGGCCTCCCTCTGACTCTCTGGCTGCTTGATCTGCCTGGGACTAGTGAAGGTCAGAGGGAGAAAGAAAAGCATAATCAGACCAGTGAGGGCTTAAAAATAAAAAGGTGCCTTTCCCTTCTCTCCATCCACCTGCTTCCAGCAGCCAACACAGTGGGTACCAACAAATGCTTGACTGGCTTGACCCCCAGCTCAGGGCTGCCCACCTGTCTCCCTGTATTGGTGCCACCCCCACCCCCATTAGAAGAAAGGTACTAGAGTTAAAATCGCAGGACCAGCACCTGCGGGATTCATAGAACCTGCATTGGTGGTGGAGAGGGGGTGTTTGTGCCCTGAAAACTGGAATTTTCTCTAAAGCCCCATTTTGGGGAGCCCAGGCTGCAGGAGGATGGGGTCAGAGAGAGAAGTAGGACAAAGAGGATGAGGCAGGAGGGCGTGGCCTTGTGGGAATCTGTTGGCAGCTTCTACTGAGAGGCAAAAAGGAGGCTGCTAGCTCCCAGCCATGCCTTGCATAACTGTAGCCGGGCCACCGTGTGAATGGCGCCTCCTGGAGTTGTGTAGACTTAGAGGGACTGCCAGTGCTGCACACACCCCATCCCGCCCGAAGAGCTGGGGGCCTCCAGTCAGATACTGTAACCTGGATCTTTGCATCCATCTCCATCCTGTCAGCTCTTCTGAAAAACAGGGAAACGTCAGCTTTGTGAGAGAAAAAGGAATTTTGGGGGAGTCCCTGTGGGACTGCCAGGTTGAGCTTGACCCTGGTTCGTAAGTCATCACAGATTGCACAAGACCACTTCATCGAACAGTTGACCCGTGAGTGGGGAAGATGGAGACCATGTCGGAGGGGCCAGAGGAGGGAGAGGCTTGGATGTATGGAGTTGGCTGCGGAACGATGGCCTTCAGATTATTGTTCTCTAGGATTATCAGAAAGACAGGCTTGGTCAGTAGAGTAATCCTCCCCTCCAGTGGGCATAGGGCCTTCCCATCCTGGGCCTATAGGTCTCTTCTAATGCCCACTGCTCCTCTAGGGAGGAGTCGACTTATGATGGAGTAGCTAGGAAGCGGGTGGGCTAAGCCTGGCTCCATAGCTCGAAAGTTCTTTGCCCAGGGCAGTCTTATGTTTTTTATGAGTCCTGCTCTTCAATGCTTCTACATCCAAATTCACCCCCTGCAGAGCTGGGCCAGACTTGTCTGTGGGTCTTGGAACTTGGAGTGCAGGGCCTCATGGTTATGGGCACTTGAGAAGAGAAAGCCATTACACTGCATCTCCAGGGCTGGCTCCGAAGAGCTTGGCTGGGAAGAACTGACTGTTCTCTTTCCTCTTGGCTCTTCTCTGCTCTGCACTCCACTTCCATTAAATTTTAATTATATTTGTGAGTGTTGAGTGCAGTGCGTGGCAGCCAGAGGCACACTGTTAATCTGTGTTGAGCTGGGGATGGCAGTGAGCCTTCCCGATACGTACTGTCTCTTTGGCCCCTCCACAAGCCATGAGACAGTTGTCCCTTGGTCGTCTACCCTTGTATGGTCAAAGAAACCGAGACACGGGGGCATCGAGTGGCCTTTTTGGGGATCCCCAGCTAGGAAATGGCAGGGATGGGATTGTGTTGTTTTTTCCCTTTGAGGCAGGCTCAGTATCCCAGTGAGGGATTACAAGCTTGTACCACTGTGCCCAGTTTCTTCAATGCTGGGAATTGAACTCAGGGCTTTGTGCATACCAGGCCAACTGAGCTGTGTCCCCAACTCCAGAACTTGGATCCGGGTCCTATAATCCAGCTTTGTTTTTAGGATATCTGGCATTCCTCATCTTTATTGAACGGGGAGGGGGGTTGGTGGTGTCAACTGTTATGAGCCAAGTGTCCCCTGGCTAGTGTCCTATCAGCTTCCAAGGCCGTTCCAGGAAAGAGCAGTGTCTCCTTGGAAGAGTGACAAAGACCCAGTGTCATCAGCAGCCTGACACCAGCCTATTGTCCAACCTGGCCTGGAGGGACAGGGAGTGCAGAGTTCTAGGATAGCTTGGCCTAGGCTCAGGTTCTTCCCACAGGATGCCAAGCATATCATACCAAACCCTCTGGGTTTCAGATTGGGAAGCTGGCATGAATGTACCCCGAGGAAGCTTCTTGCCCCAGGAAAAAGGGCATCCCCTGCAGGCCACCCCTCCCATACAGAAAGCATTGGGCGAAATACTGTCTTTGGAGCTGGACCACAACCTGCCTCATTTTTCATGTCAGGGATGGTACAGTGGCTTGTTCCCTTGTCTGCTATGGATCTGGGTATGTGCATCCGGGGCTTCAGGGTGATCCCAGAGGCTGCAGAGCAGGGGGTTGGGATTTTTAATCTATGGCTGTGTGCTAGTCATCTTTGTGCACACCAATAGGCCAGTAACACGGAAAAGCTGTAAAAGGGGTTCCCAGATGACTGTCCCCACCCGCTCCCACCCAGATGACTGTCCCCACCTGCTCCCAACCTCTAAGCCAGTGTGAGTATAGGGACAATCTGTGCATGTGTTGTGAGGAGGTGTGGGTTTATGAGAACCCAAAAGTGGGTCAGAAGGGATTCTATAATTTAGGTTGGGAGCAGGCCAGGTCCCTCACTGGTTTCCTCCTCCACCCTGGTTTCTGACTCGGGAGGGTTGGCATCTCTAGAACAGGGCAGCATGGTGATGGATTTGAAGGGCCAGCAGGACGCTGGGCCTGGGAAGAGAGGGATAGAAGAGGATTGCTGCTCGATGAGGCTACAGGATGCTCGTCTAGACTCCCAGCTGTTCTCAGGGGGACAGACAGCCCATGCCACCTCATTCTCCATGAGGTCAGAGCTGTCTGCCTGAAGACTGGGAGGACCCAGGCAGAGTGCTCTGTTTCTCTTCCTACTGGGAAGACAGATTAGCTATGTGACCCCAGGCAACTACTTTGTCTTTCTGAACCTTGATCTTCTCACTGGTTTAACGCACAGACTAATAAAGATAATCCACTGAACTCAGCATTCTGACTGGGTGGAAAGTCTTGGGTTCAAGGACAGGCTTTTCTTTTCCTCCTGAGGAAGGGTCTGTGACTGAGCAATAGGCTTTTGGGCACGCAGCACTCCCCATTATTTCTCTCGATGCAGTCCTGGCCATCTAGGAGCTCAGTATGTAGACCAGGCTGGCCTTGAACTCACAGAGATTCTCTTGCCTCTGAGTGCTTGGATTAA